CAACAGACGAAATTAACTGTAACTGCCGCAAGAAAGATGAATGCCCCCTCCAGAAGAAATGTCTGACCCAAGCTATCGTGTACCAAGCCGAAGTAAAGAGTCATGACAACGGCGAAACGAAGCGGTATATTGGGGTGACAGCTGGGGAATTCAAAGACAGGTACAGAAACCATAAAAAATCATTCGAGCTTCAGAGATACGCGAACGAAACGGAGCTATCGAAGCATATTTGGAAATTGAAGAGAAGCGGAAGACCTTACAACACCACTTGGTCCATTCTGAAGAAGGCTGTCCCATACACAAGCGGAAGACCAAGATGCAACCTATGCTTGCAAAAGAAGCTGCTGATTTTAAAATCTCGCGACCAAAATCTACTCAACAAAAGATCGGAAATCTTCTCGAAGTGCGTGCACCAGAAACAATTTTTAGCGGGAAATGTAGTCTGCGCGCGTGTAAGCAACATCAACAATCCTCGCGCGCACGCGCAGTCACGCCATCAAACAACGAAAATCAAACGGTATTTAATTGAGAACAATGTCTCCTGATGATCGCAGCGATGCGTGAAACTCGGAGGAGAGACAAAAAACATTTTAAGTAAGAATAGTAACTATATATATATATATATATATATATATATATATATATATATATATATATATATATATATATATATATATATATATATATATATATATATATATATATATATATATATATATATATATATATATATATATATATATATATATACTATATATATATACTATATATATATATATACTATATATATATACTATATATATATACTATATATATATACTATGTGAACATAGGTTTCCGTTGAGCGGTAAACGCCACGTAGATCTATAATTGGCTCATTTCCCGTAATTATTTTTCGTCTCGCACGAAAGGCAGTGTAAGTGTTTGGAGTAAAAATAATCTTTAACTACGTCCACAGTTGTTGTATATAGGTGATTGCCAAGCAACGTTGTTGGCCTAGTTTGAATAGCACGTTGGGAGACTTTTGGCTGAGATTGGGGTTTGGGGTACTACCTTTTCCAAGTGCGAGGGTGTACGCATCGTGAAAGGCGATTTAATTAGATCTAATATAAGATATAGTATTAATTATAATATAAGATATAGTATTAAAATATAAGATTTAACAAATATAAAACATTTTCCGTGTTGATGTACTATTTAAAACACGAGAAGGAGTGTTTAGATATGATAATTCGAGTTCGAGTGTTTTGAATAGCTTAAAATACGACTACAAAGAATACTAATTAGGATGAACAATTATATAATCATACTAATTAGGATGAACAATTATATATTAAATGAATACTAATGTCTACAATGAATACAAGTCTCTCCACGTGACATATTATGGCTGACATGATTTGCCACAAGTTTTTTATATGAATTTGTAATGAGTATCTTAAATACAGTTAAAAAACTCAATAATTCAGGAGCAAAACACAAAGAAAAATCATAAGCGTGTCGTGGTTTTATATGTGATAAAAAATCATGTTAATTTACATAAACTTTAGCTTTGATTTTCTCGGTTTAGACAAAGTTTATTTCAAAAATTACTTCGCCAATGAACTCGTATAAGATGAGTCGTTTTTTAAGCCATTTAAAGCACTTGTAGTCGTGTTTTATCACATATAAAACACTCCGCTACGCGTCGTGTTTTATATGTGATAAAACACTCCTACGCGTGCTTTAAAGAAATAATCTTATCAACACGGCTCTTAGCCAATCAGTATTAAAATATAAGATATAGTATTAGTAATCTATTTACAGATAAGTCTATTTGCATTTATACTATCAATGTGCGTAGCGATTTTCTTTCGAAAGGAGGAAAGTGATTTGCTTTTGGAATCGCCATATTTACAGCAATATAAGCAAAACTTACTGATCTTCGGACATCATTTTCTCTTTGGCGTACCATCTAAAATCTCGTCATTTTATCATTATTTTACAGATAAGCACTAAACATACTTTTTCAGTTTGTTTGCCGATTGAGAAACGTGTCGAAAAATACTGAAATTTTGAATGTAGTCCTAATTGCAAGTGCTATACTCATTAGTGCGTGTGTTGAGTTGCTTAAAGGGGCAGTGTCACGGTTCTACTGCGCATCCAAAATATGCGCGAACTTGAAAAACTGTCTGCCAACAATTAATCAAGTTAGGAGTGATATACGATATACTGTTTATAATCCCTTCGTTATGCAAGACATCCTTGCTTCGTTTTTAAAAATTCAGCACCGTGACACTGCCCCTTTAAAGGACATTGGCAATAAAAAAATAGTTTGTCTCATTCAAAAGAACTCTTAAAATTATATATTAAACTCTATTACCGATCTTGCTCAGTTATCTCGAAATATTTAGACCGAAATTAATGAGCTGTCCGCCATCTTGGCCTAATTCTTGACCTGATCAACTATGGTTTTGATGACGTCAGGAATTGGGTTAGCCATATAAAACTACTCTTAAATCACCGAGTAACAATCTAAAATTGTTTGAAATGTTTTCAGTCATTTCTAAATTTCAGACAGCAACCAGAAACGACGTTTTGGACCTATATTGATCGACTCTCAAGATAAAAAGTTAGCGTGACCCCTCTCTTGACGTAACATGCATATCCTCAATAATCCAAGATGGCGAACAGCTCACTTTTTTCAGTCGAAATATTTTGAAAACTATAAGCAAGATTTAAAAAATCTGCAATAGAGTTTAATATGTAGTTTTGAGAGTTCTTTCAAATGAACTAAGGGACTGGTCATAAAGTAACTGCTAGGGTGGGCTGGAGGTAAATCACAAATGTTGCCAATAAGTTTGGTGACCCATCTTAGGATGTAGATAAAAATTTCAAAGCCCATCTAATCTTACCAAATTTATTTCATGACCCACCCACCCAATCTAAATTAGGAAAATACAATTTTAAACTTGCAGGTATGAACATTGTAGATATACATCGGCACTGTATTGACATACGTAATTCCACCAAGCTTGACCAACATATTCATCACCAATTACGATACTGCGCTGCTCTCCAGCTGGTTGTATTTGCTGTGATTCGACCACTTCTTGTTGTTGTATAAAACAAAGTACTGGCTTCAATAGCATCATTTGCATTTGATAATTTGGATAGTTTTGTTTACTTTTATTATTAATATCTTTATGTAATATATAATTAACATGGGTTTTTGTTTGGTGACCCAACTGTGGATATATCAAAAAAATTGACGGCCCATCGAAATTGCCGAAAGATTTTCCATGGCCCATCCCAAATCACTCCAGCCCACCCTAGCAGTTACTTTATGACCGGTCCCTAAACTAATTGTTTATTGCCAATCTCCTTTAAAATATTGGTATCTTTTTTCAGCTTGTAACAGTCCTCTTGGTTTGGAAAATGGAAGCATTACCGACAGCCAGCTTTCAGCCTCTTCCCACAGAGCGTACATGTATGTTTCCAGACTTAGCCGCTCATACAATATGGAGGCGAAACATGGCCGCTTGAATAACAAGCTTGCGTGGTGTGGTCTTGGTCCGTTCAAAGATATTCGTCCCGTCTCGTATTTCCAGGTTGATTTCGGCGAAGTGGTTAATGTGACCGGTCTTGCAACACAAGGATTTGATAATTTCAATTCATATTATGTCAAGACTTATGAACTTGGCTTCAGTTTGAATGGCAGTGATTGGTTCAATTACAGTTCGCCTAATAAGGTCGGTACAAGGGCAGGGCTGCCTCGAAAGGGGAGGGCGTTTGGGGCGCTAACCCATTTAGTTAAACCAACTACTGACTGAGTATTTTTTGTCTGTGTCTAAACATAGTGTCCTTTACACGCGTAAAAATCTCACATCTTGTAGCAAGTTTGCCAACAAGCTGTCAACAAGTTGTGTTCGCACTGCTTGTCCAAAGTTTTTAACAAGTTTGGAACAAGCTGTTGACAAAGTTATAACAACCTTGTTGATATTATCAGACTTGTTGCTAGGTTGTTCCAACAAGTCTGATACAATCATGATCTAACAATATTGTTACAACTTTGTGTCGTCAACCTTGTAACATTCTTGTTAGGGACGGACCATTAGATATTTGAGGGGGTGGTTGCAGCTTTTTTCCTTGCAGGATTTTTTTTTGGACGCACATGTTGTGCACGCTTTTTTTTCCGTTTAACGCTTGCAAGAATTTTTTTATTTGTAGTTTTTAATAGGGGCGGGTTACAATATCGTTGAAAGAAAATTTGATAGTGTAAACAAGCCCTTTCGACAGCTGTGACTGCTCCGTTTCCGGCCAGTGGCGTAGCCAGACCTTCATTTTTGCCTCTGCACGCCATACAGCCCGTATGCCCGTTTGCAGGTTTTGTCGCCTTAATTTTTCAAACTCCTGTGCCTTCACAAATTTGGAAGCTTCGCATAATGAAATAATGGGTGATCATCAGGATTGTCACGGCATTCTATGTTTTATATCCAGAAGTTCCAAATAGGGAATTGGAGTTTACTCTCATAGGATGGATGCTTGCACGAATTTTTTTTTTCAAGTTTTCTTCTCGCACGTTTTTTTTTAAGGATAAAGGCTTGCTCGAATTTTTTTTTTGATTTCTGCAACCACCCCCTCAAATATCTAATGGTCCGTCCCTTATATCATGACTGTATCAGACATGTTGGAACAACCTTGTAACAAGTCTGATAATACCATCAAGCTTGTTACAAGTTGTTAACAGCTTGTTCCAAACTTCTTACAACAACAACTGGGAACGAGCAGTACGAACACATTTCCTTGACAGGCTGTGATATTTTTGCGTGGGTAGTTGACTATAGTCTTCAGTTCAGGGAAGTAGTCTGTCAAGTTTGTTGGGCTTATAATTATATAGTGGAATATACGTGTTAGAGTTGCCTTCAAATTTTCAAGTTGCAAACCCTCGACAAATTTCCAGCGGCTGTTTGCCATTTTTCGGCGAATGGTGCTCGTGCGCTCGAGTATTTTTGCCGCCACTCCGCTACCAATTAGCCATTCCGAAGTTGATGAGTGGACTGGGGACGAATGTTAAAAAGTGCCCAAATTTAGAAATGAACCAAATCACTAAAAAGACCACCTCAAAATTAGTAAGTATACAAAGTTTGAAGACGCGCGTCCCCAAAACAATCTTTTAATCAGCAATTTCACAATTTTCGAAAGCTTATTATTCGAAGGGTATTCATGTAAACGTCTTCAAACTTTGTATACTTACTAATTTTGAGGTGGTCTTTTCAGCTATTTGGTTCATTTCTTAATTTGGCCACTTTTTAACACTCGTCCCCAGTCCTCTCATCAACTTCGGAATGGCTCATACTCCTCAACATTTCATTTACATTGATAGTTGAAGGGTCTTATCGAGTGTTAATTTATATACATTTATTAGACTTAACCAGGAAAAATGCAACTATAGATCCCTGGCAGGAATAGAACCTGCGATCCCGGTGCTGCGCTCTAACCAAATTAGCCTGCGAACAGGCTCTCAAGCTGAATTGAGAGCCTGCATCGATGACTAATGAATTTGAATATCTGCGTCTCAAATCATGACGCGAAATTCTCATTGGTCAGATGCTATAATTTATATTATTCCGCTGAGCTCTATATATGTCAACTGCTAAGCACTATGGATAAAAAACACATTAACTGATCAAATTGGTCTTGGCCATCTTATCTCAAAGCACGAAATGTTCTGTTTTGAGAAAACAGTATTTAAAACATTTAAAGTTTTGCTTCAATATCTTATATTTCGAAAAACAGTATAAACTGTACGGTCTAAATTTAGTTTGCATGGTCTAAATTTAGTTTGCACGAAAGTTGTAAACAACACCATATAAGGATAGACATTCCATATTTGGAAAAACGAACGTTACGGGGCAGATATTCAAATTCATTAGTCATCGATGCAGGCTCTCAATTCAGCTTGAGAGCCTGTTCGCAGGCTATAACCAAATGAGTTCATGCACCAGAATTGCAGGATTACAGGTTCGATTCCTACCAGGGACCTATAGTTGCATTTTTCGCAGCTGTTCCTGGTTAGGTTTAATAGGCCCGTTTCAGACGGCGTACTTCTCATGTGCCGAACTTAATTGATGAATTAGGTACGGCAGAAGAGCGACGTATGAATCAATTAAGTACGGCAGAATTTGGAGCGGCAAAAGTTCGACACAAGTTCGGCAGAGCTTGTCGCATTATGCGACGTTGGAGCGACATTGATTCATACGCCGCTCCACTCATGTGCCAAACTTAACTCAACTTTAGTCTAAAAATAAACTTATTTATTTTGAATTTTATTGAGGTTTCGCTGGCGAATGCGCCCCAACCTTGTCAATAACATTGTATTTGGTACGCCGTTTGAATCACTGCCATTCTTGTGTCGCATCTAATACAATTAAGTTTGGCACATGAAGAGTACGCCGTCTGAAACGGGCCATAGATGTATATAAATTTCCACTCGATAATTTCCATTAGCAAAGCCTTCAACATTTAATCGAGCGAGACGCCAACAAAATTTTGATATCATCAACTGTTACTCTCTGTTTGCGATCTTTTAAGAAATCTATCATCCAATTTATGATGTACGGGTTAAAAGGCAATTTCTTAACTTTTCCAAATAGTATGTCGTGTGGGACACTGTCAAAAGCCTTGCTAAAGTCAAATGATAGTACTCTAAGGGGACATGACTTTGAGCTGCCCTTAGTAAGAACTGAAAGATTTAAAAAATCTTTTGTAAATAGATGTCTTTTCAATTTTATCTAGTGCATGATACATTTTAATAATTTTTACCAATACTGTAGAATTTTACTAGTTTTATTAAATTATTGATGTAAATAATTAACGTAAAATAGACTATATACTTTATTTTTATAATTTCATGTAAACTCGGACCTGTGTTTCGAGTATTGATTAATAAAGACTATTATTATTATTATTATTATTATTATTTACCCCATTTACATCAATACATACGTTTGTCACATGTAGGTATGGCAAGGGAACATGGATGGTGACACTGTGAAGACGAATCATTTTAACAAGTCATTCCAAACTAGATATCTCCGTATCTTACCTGAGAAATATAGCTATCATCGTTGTCTCCGTGTTGAGGTTTATGGCTGTCGCCTGGGTGAAGATGGTAGGAATAATGAAGAATTTGGAAATATGTTAATTAAATGATGAACAATTGAATCGCAATTATTTAGCCTGATTATAATTACTATAATTTAGCCTGACACAAACCTTAATCTGATTGCTCCCCACCACCCACAAAAAGGTTTATATTTAGCTATAGTATTCATGAGCACGTTCATGCATATATATACCAAAATCTGGTATACTTCATGAGCATATGCATGCTCGCAGATATATCAAAATCCAGTATACTCATCAGCATGCTCTTATATATATTAAAATCCGGTATTCTCATGAGCATGCTTAAATATATATATCTATACCAAAATCCAGTATACTTATGAGCATGAGTGAGTAGAATGGCTGTAGAATGGCTGTTGCATTCACAGACTTTTCAGCATGGCATGATGAATTTTCTTTTTACAGTACCAGTGGCAACAAGTTCAGTAGCAAAAGTGGTTGCCACGCCAACAGTTCCCATGTCAACGAGATTGGTTGCCAAGGCAACAACAGTTGCAACAACCGCACAGATTACAAATACACCAACTGTAGATCCAGCCAGTCAAGGTATGTTAGCTTTGGATTAGCCTCCTCCGCTGGCATTTCTATGAGTTTTAGCCTGCGAATGGGTGTTCGAAAAATTCCCCAGGTAAAGTGCCTGCGGAGGAGGCTAGCTTTGGATATGGATAACCCTAGTGCCTTTGTCGAGTTTCCACTGTGGATTCTTAAAACCAGGAATCTCGAGGGCTCAGCCCCCCCTCCGCCAAACTGAAAGAAGATTATAGCAGGGGTGGGGGGCAAGCCCCTCTGAGCTCCTCTTCCACCATTACCCTTGCTTGTAAACCCTAAGGCCTGTTTCAAACGTCGCATTTTGCGTGTGTCACATCCAGTCGCTTGAATTGTGTGCTGAACAGTTGGGCTTAAAATATTCTTACAACAGTTATTTAAATTTCTGAGTACAGTACCGCAAGGTACGAAGGATAGATAGGTAGATTGTTTAGAAAAGATTATGTTAATTATTTACTTACAAAGATAATAGATTAATATATTACATTATTAGTGAAGTTAAAAATTCAAAACTAATGGTAATTTACAATGGTAGACATACAAGGAATGAATGACTTATTGAAGCGATCAGTATACTACAAAGCGGAATGTTAAAATGGCGAATACGTCTTAAATTTTATTCAGGCTGATACTTTGGAGGGACTAGAAATTGAATTAAAAGTTTTTAATTTGTAGTACTTTTGCAGTTGTTTGTAATAGATTCATCATACTTTCATACTTTCTCCTGAAAGATGTTCTTTGAATGATCTTCGGTATGAAGCTTTACCGTCATTGCAGGCAACGCCCAAGCCGAATTGTATTGCACACATGCAAAATACGACGTTTGAATCAGGCCTATAAATCAATAACGAATAACCTAGTAAATACAGGGATGGATCCAGCATGATCTGGTAGGGGTGCTCTGCCAGCTCTGGTGCCGAGTTGTGTCGGTCATGTTTGCCGCCCGCCCATCAACTTGCTTCACTACGGCAAAGTCTTACTTGACTACTGTATTTGAATTGTAATTGTTGTTCACAGTTCGCTTATCATCATGTTATTACTCAAATTACTGTATCTCATTTTGTCTCTAATAATTTTTTGCTTTATCATGAAAAATAGCACCCCCCCCTGCACTCCTCTGGTGCACCCCCGCACCCCCCCTCAGTAAATCCATCCCTGAGTAAATATAATCCTATGTATTTTATTTCTGTAGTTTGTAATAACCCACTTGGTTTCCAAGATGGTCGGGTTAAAGACAGCCAGCTCAATGCTACCTCCTACAGATCGTACATGTATGTTTCCAGACTTAGCCGCTCATACAACATGGAGGCGAAACATGGCCGCTTGAACAACAAGCTTGCGTGGTGTGGTCTGGGCCCGTTCAAAGATATTCGTCCCGTTTCGTATTTCCAGGTTGATTTTGGTGGGTCGGTTAATGTAACAGGTCTTGCAACACAAGGCTTTGACGATTTGCATCCTTATTATATCAAGACTTATAAACTTGGCTTTAGTTTAAATGGACAAGATTGGTTCGATTATAGCTCGCCCAATAAGGTAAGTGGATGATGATCAACTTTATTTCAAACACACAAATCTTTTCAACATACTGTTGATTTCCAAAAGAGGTGTGCTAATATTATACAAAACACAGATTTATAAAACTTATTTAAATATTACTATATTAATTATATCCAACATGCAATAACTTAGTACTATGGGACTAAACTGCATGATTGTGAAGTTCTTGTAGGTATATATAGGGCTCACTGGTTCATACCTATAGCTTTAATATACACATTCAATTTCGCAGTTGATCAAGCAAATCGATATCAAGTTTTGCTCCAGCGCTTCTTCGGGCATAGGTGATCACCATCGTTCTACTGGATCACCATCTTTCTACTGTATCACCATCTTTCTACTGTATCACCATTTTTCTAGTGTATCACCATCTTTCTAGTGTATCACCATTTTTCTGCTGTATCACCATTTTTCTACTGTATCACCATCTTTCTACTGTATCACCATCTTTCTACTGTATCACCATCTTTCTACTGTATCACCATCTTTCTACTGTACCACCACCATCTTTCTACTGTACCACCATCTTTCTACTGTATCACCATATTTCTACTGTATCACCACCATCTTTCTACTTTATCACCACCATCTTTCTACTGTATCACCATCTTTCTACTGTATCACCACCATCTTTCTACTGTATCACCACCATCTTTCTACTGTATCACCATCTTTCTACTGTATCACCATCTTTCTACTGTACCACCATCTTTCTACTGTACCACCATCTTTCTACTGTATCACCATCTTTCTACTGTATCACCACCATCTTTCTACTGTATCACCACCATCTTTCTACTGTATCACCATCTTTCTACTGTATCATCATCTTTCTACTGTATCACCATCTTTCTACTGTACCACCATCTTTCTACTGTACCACCATCTTTCTACTGTATCACCACCATCTTTCTACTGTATCCCCACCTTCTTTCTACTGCATCACCATCTTTCTACTGTATCATCATCTTTCTACTGTATCACCATCTTTCTACTGTATCACCATCTTTCTACTGTATCACCATCTTTCTACTGTATTGCAGATATGGCAGGGTAACAATGATGGTAATTCAATAAACAGAGTTATCTTCAGTAAATCGATCCAGACAAGATATTTTCGCATATATCCTCAGAAGTACAATTTAAATAGATGTCTCCGTGTTGAAGTCTATGGATGTCGCTCAAGTCAAAACGGTAGGTTGACAAACTGAGCAGGCTAATAGCACAGGGAAAATAGACAATTCCCATTATAGACTAATTTTAATATATATCATTTTAAATGTTCTTTCAAATAAGACAAACTTAATTGATATTGCCGTATCCCTTTAAGGCTCAAAATAGCTAGACAAGGTATCTTTCCGCGAGACCAGACAGCACTCCCCAAGGATTTCGACGGTTGTGTTTTAAGAAATTTTTCAAAAATAAGAATCAGGATAATTTTGTATACGTGGATACAACAGCTCAGTAAAACTTGATTTCTTTTGAACTTTCTTCATGAATTATTCATGATTTTCACAAACACTTTTAACCTGTGTTATTTGTTTTACAGGCCATCAGACTTTGCTACCAACTACACAAATGACGTCACCTCTGATATCGGCAACCCGGACGCCTGCGTTACAGACACCATCGATAACCGTTGCAAATTCTGATATCAATGGCGAAGCCAAGACTACCAACGCGGAAATCGCTCCTAGCCAAACATATACACCAAGTAGTTTGCCGGGTCAGACGAAGACCGACACTCGTGCAACCTCGGTAACTCGAGACAATGTAGTGTTGTTGCTTGGTGTCTGTATTGGTGGTGCTGTGTTGGTCATCATCACCATTCTTGTTTTCATGTTATTGAGAAGGAGCTCACGCACACGAGGGGCCAAGATAACTCGCAGGTATCACACCACTTGTTTCCAGCTACCAAACTGACGTTATGTTATTTGATCAATAGATGATCAATAGATGTCATTTGATCAATAGATGATTATGTCATTTGATCAATTTCTAAAGTTGTTTCTTTTTGGACTTTTTTTTATTAATTTCGTTAGGGTTAGAGTTAAGGTTGAGTTTCACAAATTCATGTACTATTTAAAACACGAGTAGGAGTGTTTTATCAGATATAAAACGCGAGGCGCAGCCGAGCGTTTTATGTCTGATAAAACACGACAACGAGTGTTTCGAATAGCTTAAAATACGACTACAAAAGAATACTGATTAGGATGAACCATTATATAAACATACGTACTAATTAGGATGAACAATTATATAATGCCACTTGCTTTATCAGATATAAAGTCACTCCACGTGACATATTATGGCCGACATGATTTGCCACAAGGTTTATGAATTATTAATGAGTATTTTAAGTACTATTTAAAAAACGAGCAGGAGTGTTTTATTAGGTTTAGACCTAATAAAACACGACCCGCGAGTTTTTTAAATGACTTCAAAAACGTAAGCATAATAAGTCAAATCTTTATATAAAAATCTTTATATAAAAACCTTTATATAAAAATCTTTATATAAAAATCTTTATATAGTTTGCATAACAATGGTCTTTTGTTAAAGTGTTCTTTAGCTGGTATAAAGACGTATGCACGTGACTAATTTCTTACTCAAGATTGGATAATTGCTTCATGAATTATTAATGAGTTTTTGAAGTACTATTTAATAAACGAGTAGGAGTGTTTTATCACATATAAAACACGACGCGTAGCGGAGTGTTTTATATGTGATAAAACACGAACTACGAGTTTATTAAACAGCTTCAAAAACGTCTCAGTTAGATCACGGCATTGGCGAAATAATTTTCCAAAATAACTTTGTATTAGCTGAGAAAATACAAGTTGAAATTTGAAGCGTGTTTTATCACATATAAAGACACGTCACGCTTATGACTTCTCTTTGTGTTTTCCTCATGAATTATTAATGAGTTTTTGAAATATATTTATTGTTATTTTAGAAACTTAGTGGAATGTCAAATCGCTTTGGAACCAAAAAATCCGGAAAGGTAAACTCTTTCAAAACGTTTCTATATTTGCTAATTGCACGCGTGTATACACAACAAGTTCTCTATCCAGGTGATCTTGATACGCGGAAAAGTACTGGCACTAGTTGTCAAATAGAAATCCATTTTATGATTAAAACAACTGAATATCTCCTGTAATATACTTTATTTCGATTCCATATTTTTGTCAGAGCTATAGTTCTCATAACCAAACATAATTACAAAATTTCAACTAGTTTCATAAAAAATAATGAAAGATATAATTGACCATTTGCGTAATAGACTAAATTTTGAACTCAACAAAAATTTCATCACAGCTTGAAAGAGCATCACAAAATTAGTAATATTCCAAAGTTTCGTTGCGAAATGTTGTAAAATGCGGAAAATATAGCCTTGCGAAGTTTGCAATTTTCAGTCATTTTAGATTACAAATGGGAAATTTACAGCCCCAAACCCTTTGAGGCTGTCAATTTTCCATTTGTAATCTAAAATGACTGAAAATTGCAAACTTCGCAAGGCTATATTTTCCGCATTTTACAGCATTTCGCAACGAAACTTTGGATAATTACTAATTTTGTGATGCTCTTTCAAGCTGTGATGAAATTTTTGTTGAGTTCAAAATTTAGTCTATTACGCAAATGGTCAATTGACTGAATACATCAAAATGGATTTCTATTCGGACAACCCTTTCTGAGCGCTGATTGGCTAAAATACGAACACGAGATCACCTGGATGGAAACGTAATTTAAAATTAATATTAATGCCCAGTATGAGCATTAGCTATAGTATTCATTTTTAAATCCATCCATGAAACGTTTTTGGTTTGTTCTGTCCGCCACAAAAGCTACTGTATATAACTGGCTAAAATAATATTGTCTGGTTTGTTTAGGCTTGTCAATGAAGGTTTTGTGTAGACATGGTCACTTCTATATTTGCCAGCTGATCAAAACCAGGCTTGTATGGTTAGTTATCCACTATATATATTTCATATGCTAGTTGTGTTTAGATCTTATGCTAGTTAGGCCGGGACCGTCTCGAAATCTCGACACTTCTCTATTGTGACTAAACTGCTAAAAATCTCTTACTAGAAGTTTGAACACACATAGTAAAACACTCATGGTAAAGATTGTGCTCATCCAACCATTAAAATTCAAAATTATTTTTTACCCAAATATATATTATCAAATATCAATTAAAAAATAAATACCCACACCTGTCCAAAAACTTTACAAAAGGATACCATTCAGTTGTCACACATGTCCTTTCCATTTGAGTTTGATTGTGCAATTTTCTGCAGTGTAATGTTTCATGTTGTCTGTATATGTACTTTCTTTGGGGACACCATTTGCCTGATGACTGGAAAATGGTGACTCTGATTGATTTACATATTGTATTGACATATGACTGTTGACATGGCTTTTTAGTCTTCAATATTTTAGCAAGTCCTACGCTTTGGAAATGACCATAAATTTTTATCACCCAACCCTTGAGTTGTTTCCATAGATATCTTATATACACTAGATAGCGCATCTCTTTTAGTAAAATTGAAGCCAAAAATATTCCAGCGGTTACCCCCATTTGAATAGATGGCGGCCATGTTGGTCGTTCCCACTTGCTAATAAACGCTTAAAAACAACGACAACTTTCATCATTTGAATGGTTTAAAAAGTATTTGAAATAGGGTTAACTTAATGTTTAAGTTCCCTGTTTAAGAAGTAGAAAACATACGAATCTTCTCATTTCATGGGAACTACCTGAGACTGCAATCACAGCTTCAATTTTTGAATTGCAGAATAATTAGATGCACTATCTAGTGTATATAAGATATCTATGGTTGTTTCTCATTTACCCTGCAGCCTTTTACCCACTCAAACTTTTTGTTTACCCAACCCCTTTAAGTCTCACCTCCCCCCACCCCCATTCAGGGAAAAGTGTCGAAATTTTGAGACGGGCCCTTAGTAACCATATAATCACGTAGTTTATTCGTATTTTCGATATTGTCAGATCGGTAATAGATTGCGGTGAAATTTCAGTATTAATTCAATCGTCCGTTTCGTTAAAAACGTTTTTTAAAAAGGTGAGTGCCAATGGGTTGTTGGTTTTTTTTTCAACAAATTTTTGTAAAGTTTCGTTAGACATTGCAATTTGTCTGACCCGTTTCACGTTTTAGTGCTAAATGTAAATGATATTCTGGTCACCTAACCAGTCGTGTATACTTGCTGTTTACTCCAGGCTGAAAATCAAAAATTCCATATTTTTACTTTTTTACCTAAAGGGATATAGCAATATAAATTATATGTTTGTCTTATTTGAAAGACCATTTAAAATGATATATAAACTTTCTTTACAATTATTCCGTATCTTGCTTGGTTTTCGAAATAAATCGACTTGTTATATAGCTAGCATGAACACCAAACGTGATTGGCTGATTTGTGGTCACGTGACTTCAGATAAATGCAATGTTTCCCGCCGGGCAACAAGTGAAAAATTGTTGCCCGCCCCGACCGGCCACGTACATAAATAAACAAAATGGCGGCACAACTACGATAATTAGAAACTACGATTTTCCAAGTTTGTGTTCAAATAAAGAATGTAAAAGGGAAGAAAAATACAGAACAGGAAACAGGATATGCTGCCGAAACCGTTTAAGTAGGTTCTTTAATTTTAAACTCGTTTACTCTATAGAGTTTTTGCCACGAAAAACAATTGTTGTATACGGGAATGTTGTTGAAGCTGATTTTTGTTCGTTGCTATATAACAAAACACTTAATGTCTGTTCCCTCGGGAAATAGTTAGTTTTGTTTTCCCTCGAATCTCAATGTTTCCCTCGACTTCGTCTCGGGAAACATTGAGACTCTCGGGAAAACAAAACTAACTATTTCCCTCGGGAGCAGACATTAAGTGTATATTATTTTGATCCTGTTTTGATCAAAAGCAGCTTGCATTCCGCCATCTTGGATATGCATTCGATATGATGCGTCACAAGCATAGATATCTTGCTTATATACACTAGATAGCGCATCTCATTTAGTAAAATTGAAGCCAAGAATATTCCAGCGGTTACCCCCATTTGAATAGATGGCGGCCATGTTGGTCGTTAATAAACGCTTAAAAACAACAATAACTTTCATTATTTGAATAGTTTAGAAACGTATTTGGAATAGGGTTAACTTAATGTTTAATTTCCCTGTTTAAGAAATAGAAAACATACGAATCTTCTCATTTCATGGGAACGACCTGAGACTGCAATCACGGCTTCAATTTTTGAATTGCAGAATAATTAGATGCACTATGTAGTGTATATAAGATATCTGGTCACAAGTAGTTTAAAAAGCGAAATTTTTATCTTGCAAACCACTTGTCATCAATATGAGACTAAGAAACTTTTCGAAGAAATTTAGTCCCACATGAAGAAGTTTTAACCCTGCTTGTGACGTCATCAAAAACTCAGGTCAATTATGTCGATTATAATACCAAGATGGCGGACTGCACACTGTTTTTGGTCAAAATATTTCGAAAACCAAGCAAAGTACGAAAAGGTTGTAAAGGATTTTCATATATAAAAGTTCTTTCAAATAAGACAAAGTTAATTTTTAAATTTATTGCCATATTTCTATTAAAACACCATATTGTATTTGTTTTTACTAGGGTATTACTCGATAAGTGCCTTAAATCTGGTAGTTGTAGCTATATGACGTGATCACGCAAGGGGTCTGTTCTTAAAATATCATTAATGTGGGTCTCATGTTGGGTAATTGCAATGTGTTAACGAAACTTAAACTTCTCAAATAGGTAGGAATGATAATTGATTAAAATAATTATATGCGTGAATGCAGTGCGATAAAATATTTTTTTAATTTGTTTAAAATGATTTCAAGAAGTAGATGTATATATTTATATTTTTTGTACAGACTTCAGTGAAAGTTTGTACAGCGTACTAGATAGTTTTCTCATTTACATCAAATAATTTATTTTGTATAAAATTATTGTACAGAACTTCAGTGTAAGTTTGTGCATGTTTTATGATAGCGGTATACCTTACTCGTGCTTAAATTCGCATGGTATTAGAATTCGCGTAGACTACAGTGGCAGGTTTTCTACAGTAACACAGAATACTGAATGTCAGAAAAGCAATTAGCGATTACTCTTTGCATGTGACATTGGGCCATCCATTTAATATAGGCACACCCCTCCCCATATTGAGGGGTCCCTTCATAATCCCCTTAGGATATAAAAAATTTGGAACCCCCTTGGATGCAATTTGTGGAAGTTGCCTCACAGGATATCTTACTAACCCCTTTAGGATATTGCTTTTTCCCTCTTGGATATGAGGATATCACCAAAACACCTAATTTGTGCCTTTTTTTAAAAAAAATATCTCAAGCTACCCTCTAGGAAAATTTAAGATGAAGATCCACTCCTCCCCCGATGGATATCCAGACCCTTAATAGAGGGGGGGGGGACATATTAAATGGATTGGCCCATTATCAATATTAACAACAAATGTATTGGCTAGTATATATTATATGCATCCACAAAAAATGAGACTGCCCTGCCAATTTTTTTCTTGGGATTTGGAAATTTCAGAAAGCATTAAGTATCGAATGTCATTGTAACAAAGAAAAACATTATTTCATGTGATATTCTAGTTTTTGTATCGTTTCAAATTCAAATTGCATGCGTGAAAACATCGCAATTTGGGTGCGCGGAATAAAATCGCACGAATTTAAAACCGAGAGAAAATGAATACCACGCGAATGTAAATGCGAGTAAGGTATATTTCAAAGCAATAATTTGCAATTGATGTAATTTTTTATATTTGTACAGAACGTCAGTGCATGTTTGTACGTTATCACAGGATACTAAATATTAAAATATCGCAAATCCTCTATTACTCCCCCTGTCGTAAACCACCTCTCTAACCCCCCCCCCTCCAATTTTTGTATACTCTATTCCTGAGGAAGGCGTTTAAGCCTTCCCTCCTCCATTAAGCCACCTTCCCCTTTACATCGAAGAAGATCATTTGTACCTCACCTCTCTTTATCAACCCTTCCCCCACCCTCTTTATCAAGCCTCCCCCCGCCCTCTATAGTAACCCCTCTACAGTAACCCCTCTCCCCTCTACAATAACCTCTACAAAACATGGCTGAAATAAAAAAAGCACACCTACGCCCCACCCCAGGGGGGGGGGGCGGGCCTAATAGAGGATTTACGATATTACAAAATATTCTTCAGAAAAGCACATGCATACACTAAGAATGCCAAGACGTACGTTGAATGTACGCTACATTAAGGGTACAGAATTCCAGTGTGAATTTGTACATATTTTAATTATTTCACATTGTGTACCCAGCATAGTTTATACACCTTTGAAAATCAGAGTGAATTTTCTCATCAATTGTATAGTGCTCCAGTGAGAGTATGTACAGAGGACTGTAGAGTAAATTATTATAGTTTTATATTGAAAATTATTTATGCAGAATACCAGTGTGTATTTGTATATGCGTCTTCATGCAATCGTAATCAGGATGTTCTTTGGAAACTTGGCAAGTCTTGCAAAAATAAATCCCTGAATATTGCACTATTGCGACTCAAAAATAACGCACCCACAGTAACTCTCAAAATTTTCACTAAAATTATCACTCCAGTTTATGGGCAACTTTTCTCAGTTTATTTAGTAAAGTTTCAAATTTATTTAAAATTGTTTGTTCAAAAATTCATCACGCTGGCAATTAATTATTCAGCACATTTTCTCCCAGTACAGCAGGCTCCATTTTTCCAGCGGACTTTCAATGAAAAATTGAAAACCTTACGTTTTACTACGTTTTACACAGAGCTGACATTTTGTGTGAGATGTCCGCTGACAATTTTGTGTGAGATGTCCGCTGACAATTTTTTGTAAGATATCCGCTGACAATTTTTTGTAAGATGCCCACTGACAATTTTTTGTAAGATGTTCGCTGACAATTTTTTGTAAGATGTCCGCTGATTATTTTGTGTGAGATGACAATATGAGCCCGCACGAGTGGGAGAAAATTTCAAAAATTGGTAAATTTGCCCAACGTGCATTTTCTCCACTATGCACTAGTTGGGTAGACACTAACAAAATGTTAGAACAAAAACTTTGCCAAGTTTCCAGAAAAGATCTTGCTTGACTCCGTTCCTTTCTACCGTAAACAATATGTTGTATTGATATTTAACCTTACAAGGTTGTTGTAGTAATCGTGATTGTAATGTAATGTAATCACTGATCTAATAGTAGACTATTAATCAGTGAATGTAATGTATTGGTCTTAATAGTGGCACCATTTCTTATTAACCATTTGTCCTTGTCATCTCGTGCTGTTTTTTTCCTTCCGTTGTTTGCTCCGTACTACGAGTACTTTCAGAATGCGGATCTCGGATTGCGGACCTCAGGATCCCGAGATACCGTTTTATCCAGGTCTGTTAATTTATCTAATTTTCTTAGTTCTAATTGTTCTCCTAGAAAAAACTAGTGAGGACTTTAATTTTGACCATTCAATATATACACTAGTTGCAGGGACGTGGTTAGTGTGACAGTGGAAATCAATCAGAAAAAGCTCTATTATAATTATTACACTTCCGGGAATTTTTTAAAATTGAAGTTCAAATTCAGGTAAAGTCCTCCAACCCCCCTCCCCCCCCACACACACTTCAGATGCTTCGCTACGTCCCTCTAGTTGCAATATGGTTATAAAGAAATGGCGCCATGAACTGTTGTTAAATGTTTTGTCAAAACTTTAGTTAGTTCTTGTTGAAGTTATGCCGATCAAATGTATTCCAAACTGTTCTCAATAAAGAACAAAGATCTCTATTATAACGTCTATGTTTATTTATTAATTTCATATTTTTGATATAGCAAATCTATAACACAAAAACCGAAAAATGAGAATATCCGTGCTTGGTGTTTGCAAGTAGGTAGTACGAGCACGGTTAAAAATGCATGGTATGGGTACCAAAATTGAGTGTTGTGTACGAGCCTCATATCTTGGGTTTTCAGTTTGATTGTCATATTTTGTAGCCTGGTCGCATTCTGAATTTGCTCCGCCTTCGAAATATCGGGCAGGGAGCAGGCTTTCTAATTTTTATTTATTTCAGTTTAATTTATTTCAATTTTATTTTGCTTTACTTTATTCTTCTTTTAATTTACTTTAACTTTTACTTTACTTTTTATTTTACTTTTCTATATTTTTTGTTTTAGTGGCAACGTTAGGCCATCATACTATATAGGTTAGCCTTGGCTTTGATTTGACTACATCAGGCCCGACCCATTCGTGAAATTGTCCGACGTAGAGAGGAAACCACTGGACATTCTAGACCTAAGTGTAGACCGCGAGCTGTAAATCGAAACCCGCGGAAAGGTGGGACCGCTCGCAGTCTAACCTAAGTGAAACTGAGGTTTTATTGTTTGTCCGACCCGAGTGAATTGGTGTCCGACCTAACTTAACTTTGTCCAACGTAAATCAAAATGTACCCTAGTCCAGGACTAGATGCTCGTATGTTAAATGGAGAATCAGAGTAGTGTATGTGATCTGGAAATGTGTAATCAGGTGCGGGGTTTTCACCGTGGGGTTTCGGAAATTCATTGCCAAGATTCAAATGACTTTTCCAAATTGTGCTGATATTAATTTGTGTCTGCATTCGTACTTATTACCAAGCCAAACTGAACTCAAAGTCATCGGACATCTATTGGGAGCCGATTGGGCATCACAATACACATTTCAAAAAACATTGAAAATATATAATAAAATTCCCGAAAACCCGTCTACCCTAATTATATTAAATGTTGAAAATTGATTGCAATATTGTGGCCTATTAACTGTGGCCACTGGCCATGTTTTGTTTTTTAATGCAATATAACAGTTTGTTTATACCTGTTATTGTTATCGTTTCAGCTCAATTTCGCCTTCTTTATTGGCCGAAAATTTAAGCACTGCTTTTAAAACGCGTGCTGTTTGCAGGTGCCGTGGCATAAATATTAACAACTTTAAAAAGCAAGTAGATTAGGCCTGCCTTTTAAGCGAGCGAATTAAACGATCTTTCTTCATTAAACGCTGAAATTTGTGAAAAATAATGGACGGCGTAAAAGCAAAACTTAATGCGATGCGAGAAGAGCATTCCGCCGCGGAAAAACGCGAAGAAATGGCAAGAGTTAAATCGAGGAACGACAAAGAACGACTCGCAAGGGCGGAGGACGCAACGGCCGCTCTAAGACGTAGAATCAAAATAGTTCAAATGAATTTGGAAAAAGTCGAAGACCAAACTGATGGAAAGCTCGACAGACTTGAACGTCTAAACAAGCAAATTTACGACAACGATACGTGCAGACGGCAGCTTGAACGGAAAGAAATGAAGGAGGATAACACACTGATACATTTGGAATCGAGACACAAGTCGCGACAAATATTTGCTGAAGAGGCTGATCAAAGACATCGCGAAGCTTGTAACAAATTAAGAATGTTGGAAGAACAGACTGCAAAGGTATGTTATGCACATATTTTCGTTCGTGCAATTGGCCAATACGAGAAGTATATAGTAGCTACCACGATTTTGCATTATTTTAACGCCGATTTAATACGTACACTACACAATTTTTGCCTAAACTGTCGCATGTAACCTGCTTACAACTTGAGTTGAACTGTGTAAATCGAGCACACAACTCGCTTACATTGTTGTTAGGTTCAAATCAAGAAAGCATTCTTTATTTGCTTTTTTCTCAAGCTCGATAATTCAACAGCAAAACACATTAGAAAAGCACACTTTCTGGTATTTTATATCAGTGATTTTATATGCCGGTAACTAAATCCATTCATTCTTTAATATTGAATGATTTATTGTCGAGTAAAATACTCGAAACAGAATTTAATGCGCCATTGAGTATCATGTGATCATAATCAGCCAATTAAATGACGATGATTTAATACGGTGTTATTAATTAAGACAAGATGAGAATCTTTTGTATGTTACGTAACACGCGCTCAAAACTAATGAATATACTTTTACACTTGGTTAGACTATATTAAATTTTTTTAATATTTTATACGTTTCTCAAGCGGAAAATAAACTTAAAAAGGATGGTTAGTGCTTTATCTGTAAAATAATACTAAAAATGAAGAGATGTTATATATAGATGGTACGCCAAAGAAAAAACGATGTCTGAAGTTCAATAAGTTTTGTTTATATTGCTGTGTAAATATGGCGTCAATTTTATAGCATGCATCAATGATTATTGACTAATTGCCTTTCTCACGCCACCATTTTTGGGTGGCATTTCAGCTGAAGTCTGTGCGATAAGTCTACATACCGACTTTTTATAATTTTTTGGACGAATGATGGTAAATTTGCTTTGTAAATGGTTAGTTTATTTTGAAAAATTGCTTTTCACATTGTTTTAATTGTCTGCATTGGACAATGAATATTTGATGCCACCCAAAAACGGCGGATATTCGTCATCGTGAGAAAGGCTAATTGTATTTAAATTGCAATATTTAACTATTATTTTCTGGCTGTTTCTCAACCGCCAGATAAACATTTAAAAAGGTTGCTAAATGCTAACTGTGTAAACTACAAAATAAAGCTGCTAAAACAAAGTAATTTTGAGAAGAGCGCCAAAAAGATTTTAGGTTTTGAAAATGTTTCATAGTAAAACAATTGGGTTATCATTCCATGTTTCGCGCACCAATATAGGTTAGGGGTTAGGGGTTAGGGGTTAGGGGTTAGGGGTTAGGGGTTAGGGGTTAGGGGTTAGGGGTTAGATTTAAGGTTGGGGTTTGGGTTAGGGTGTGTTATATGTGTATGGAGGTATCTACTGAACTTTTCAGTACACTATAATATCAATTACATAACGTTTACTATATTGGTGCGCGAAACATGGAACGATTACCAAAAATTGCCTCTTCATTTTTCGTCCCTAAAATTCGAGGACCTAATTAAATAGTGCCTTCATTTTTTTCATTCATAGGTGGACGCCAAAATTCGGGCAGCAAGATCAAACGAAAGATATTTTGAGGGCAAATTAAACGATGCAGGACGGACTGCCTGTAGTTTGGCGAAGTCGGGCGAGACGAAGCAAGCAAAATGTGACGATTATCACGAGAAATGTCGACGCCTGAGTGAGAAAAAGGACCACGTTTTAATCACCGCCGAATGTATGGAAAGAAAAGCCGGGCAACTTGAAAGCCGTTTAGGTTTGTTGCGTGCGGAAACGAAAGAAACGCAAAAACGCGCACTAAACGTAAAACGAGAATTGCGAGACATGATGGACGAATTTAACACATATCCATAAGTTGTACGTGAAGTGAAAGTTAACTACTTTCAATCGTTAAAGTTTGTTATTTATCTTTTTGTATATTTTGATATTTTATGTATAACAAATAGATTAATAAAATGATTCAATAAAAGTGTAAAATGATATGCAAAAAGGATTTAGTAAATGGAAACAATCGAGTGGAAATGTAATATTTCAAATCCTCCAATTCGAACTGGCTAGATTTCAAGTCCGCGCAAGTCAGAGGCGAAGCCGAGGACTGGAGTGAGGTGAACTAATTTTGAAGTGAGGTGAACTAATTTTGATCCAATTCTATAGGACTGAATTAATTTTGATCCAGTCCTAGGACTGGATCAATATACTTCACCAGGTATCCAGTATTATCATGTGAGCAAAATAAAGCAATATGGTTGGCTAATTTACTTATGAATTATTAATGAGTTTGAGATTAACGGCTTATTGACCGAACTTGAGGTCAATACGGAACATATGGACGGATATGGACCAGATACGGAAAATATGGACCACGGTCCGGATATGGGTTTTTACGGACCGCTTTTCAACCAATCAGAATAGAGAATTTTGAAAAGCCATATAATAATAAATGCTTATTGACCGAGCGTGAGGTCTGTACTGTGAAATATCAGACCGAGGTTTTTTAGTATGGACCGAGCGACCGAAGGAGCGAGGTCCATGCAAAAAACAGAGGTCTGATATTTCACAGTACAGACCGAACAAGCGAGGACAATATTCGGTTTATGATATGGCTGAACTGAGTCTGTGAGCATATGCTTTTCGCGCGAATTAAATCGGCTATCGTCAGTTTCACTGGGTTACAATGTAGGGTAGGCATGCATGCTCAATCAAAAACAATTTGGTTGTTTGAATTTTTTATCTGTAAAGCACAATTGGAAATTTTTTTCTGTTTACAAAGCGGAAAATACGGACCACGGTCCGGATATGGGTTTTTACGGACCGCTTGTCAACCAATCAGAATAGAGAATTTTGAAAAGCCATATAATAAATACATTTATTAGACCTAACAAGGAACAGCTGCGAAAAATGCAACTATGGCTGGAAACGAACCTGCGGTTCTGCGATGCAGGTACAGCGTTCTAACACTGAGCTACAGAGAGACAGTTGTCGAACTTTAACTAGTAAAGACTGGTTTACACTATCAAAGTTTCTGTGATCACAGTAGAAATTTTGCATGAGTAAATTCTAAGTTTGAAGGATTTGTAAGAAATGTTTGAGGAAACTTAATATAGTGTTTAAATACAGTAATACCCCAGAGTCAAACCAGTTATAAGCAGTCTCGGTCAAAGGATGAGAGTTCCGGATGAGAGATCCAACTCTCGCTCGCGTTTTACCGCCTAAGCTGGTTCCAATTTTGATGAGTGCTTTTACTGCGTGCCCCATAACACATGTCATTGCATGCAACCAGGGCCGCGGAAAGGGTGGGGGGGGGGCAGTGGGGGCAAATTGTCCCGGGCCTCCACCTTATAGAGCCCCAACTTGAGAGAGAGCCTAAAATTGAGTAGGATCTTTAAATTTGTCAGAGCATTTTTGAAATCGAGGCCCCTTAGCTCCACATGCAGTCTAGCTAAGGTCTAGTTGGGTGACTGGCTTAAAAATAAGGTCTGAAAAATAACGATGTCATGGGCCCCCCCAGAGAAGATTTGCCCCAGGCCTCATGAATTCTCTCGGCGGTCCTGCATGCAACCCTTGTTCTCGAGCTCGTTTTACCGGGGCACAAGAGTTGAGAAAAGTCCCATGCAAGCTCTCGCTTCTCAACTCTCATCAACTCTCATGCAACTCTTGTTCTCGTTTGACCAGGGCATTAGAGTTGAGAAAACTCTCATACAAGCTCTCGCTTCTCAACTCTCATGCAACTCTTGTTCTCGTTTTACCGTGGCACGAGAGTTGAGAAAACTCCCATGCTCTCGCTTCTCAACTCTCATCCTCTTTGACCAAAGATGAATCAGACAACTGTATAGGACTCGAACGCTCGACGCAATAGTGAAAGACACATGATAGCTGACTAATTCCTTTATTCCTTTAATCATTTGAAGGTTTTTTTAATATATATTAGTCCGTTACGACTTATCTACTTCTGGTATATCTGACATTCGATCCATTTACTACTCCCGTTCCTTTAAGGTTTATTCCGTTTATGTACTTCTAATATTCCTCATTTGTCTATAGTAGACTCAAAGAGTTATCTATATTCTGTAACAAGAAAACATCACAATCCCAAAATACCCAGAAACAATATTAAGGTATCGTAGTTGGTGTCTGAATCTCCTGAAAAATGGCCATTCTTCAACTTAATCTCTGTTACTCGTTTAATTAGCAACTTTAACGGGTCTTTAATATTCGAAATAAAAGTGCGTGATTAATAATTTTCAGATAGTTCAGACATCAACTATAGCAGCTTATTGTCGCTAGAATATACTATATATGCCTATATATACGCTAGAAGCCCACTCGTAACTAAGCTAATTCGTGCAGCGGCGAGTGTAACTACGAATTGTTCCCGATCATCGTTTATCGAACAGGTGATCCGAGCGAATCGTTGTTTTTCTTGTTTCTAAATCGAAATCTTGATTCTTTTCCACTTTTTTCTTCCTTTCCTTCGCTTGTTTCCCCTGGAGTTCGAACTTTCTTCGTCTTCGCTCCATCGTCGCCTCCTGTTTCGCGTGCAGGACTAGAAGCAGGCGTCTCTTGGCTTCCTGACTCCCTTGTCGGCGGCTTGTACACTTCGTAATCCTTCCGTGGCTTCTCCATAAACCACAGGACACATTCGAAAGCAACAACTGTGCTTACAATATAAGCGAAGTAATGTGGCGTAAGTAAACTGCCTATATTCATGCTCCACATCGAGACGAGAATGCCGAAAGACATTGCATAAATTGGCTCCTTGAGCGTTCCTTCTATCACTGGAGGCGGTGGAAGTTTTGGCATCGTTTTATTCTTGCTTTTAATGCTTTTACCTTTTATAATAGTTTATCCTTTTATTTAATGGTTTTGTTAATAGACGTTTATTAAAGTAGTTAACTTTCTTTTTAGTGTCGTTTTATAATACCCAAGTCAACTGTTTTCCACTTTGCGTGTGAGCCGTATATGATGCTCATTTAGTCACAAAAACAAGCATAACTTTTTAATTTCTTTCGTATACTCGCTGTTGATTGGTCAAAGGGCTTCCGAAAACCGGTGGCTGGAACGAAATGTCATTTTATCGACTGGTGTTCTGTTATTTGGGCACAGTTCGCGGTTGAAAATCCATTAACGGCCATTAACATGAAATGTGGGAAAAAATGGTTTATCACAAAACATTTATGGCGTAGCTCATATTGATATTTGAGTGACACAATGTACAACTTTTGAATTTGATAGCTCGCATGCCTAGTTGTTGTGTTCTTATTGTTCTAGTATAGCGTAGAATCATTCGAATAAAGTATTAAAGTAAGCATTAAATTTAATATTTTCAACAGGAGTGAATAACTGGTAAACTTAATTCTAAACCCAATAAAACACTCAATGGGACATTGCCCTTTTATTCAAAAGTGCTTAATAAGCTCAAAAACATTAATAATTCATGAATCATGAGTAAAATACGATAAATTAGCAGCCAGTTGTCTTGGTACCACAATAAAGGCTGGTTTTCACTATGATCACAGCAGGAATTTTGGTATAAAATTCCGTAAAAGTTTCAAAGGATTTGTAAGAAATGTTTGAGGGAACTGATACTGAGCCACTGCAGTTGCCTCAAATATATTTCTATAACAAATCCTTCAAACTTGGAATATACCCATGCAAAATTCCTACTGTGATCACATAAACTTTTATTCTTAAATTTTTCCACCTTGACCTTCACAAAATTGACTTCAATTTTTCACAAATTTCCCAAAAATTTCACACGTTCAGCAATATTCCAGCATTTGGGGATCCCTTTGGAAAAATTGGGGGCCCTTCCTGGGACTCCTCCCCCCCCCCCCAAGTCGGTCTGGCCCTGTTAAAAAAATTTCTGTACATGTACCTTATCAGTGACATGTACTATTAACTCATTAACTATAATGCATAACCCCGAGCCCGCGATCCTTTGTTTCATTTTTTAGCAATCGTACCCAGTCTCTCGAACAACTCGCGGTTCACAAAAGGAGAATTTTTTAAAAGCGGAAATGTCAAATTTATATTTTGAATTTTATTAGAATACACAGGATAAATCACAAGAAATAGGCGCCCGAAGTTCGCCAAAACCTCTCTTTAGATTTTATTGAAAATGGTGGACGTGAAGGATTATAACGTGGTCGTATTGGGGTTGTCTTTTATGTTCATATTTACGGCGTTTCAAACAACTTCTATGATAGAGGTATAAACCTAGTTTAATTCATAATTTCTTATAAAACATTGCGTAAAATACGACGAATTGCACTGTTTGCAGTAGTTTTTGTGCTGTTTGATGTCAGTTTATTCATGTGGCCAAAAATACAGAATGATTTTTTGGGTATTATCAAATTAGTGTTAATTATTGTAATTTTGAAAATCACGAGTTAATCACGAGACCAGATCGTAAGGGGGTGAGGGGTTCAGTGTCCATACTGCACTCGACCTTGAAATGCAAAAAATTTTACCTTCAATCAAAACATTTTTACATCCTGTAAGGCATGCCACAACCCACTTTTGTCTTTTGTATGATATACATACAACCATGAACCATCCATGAATCTGTGATGCATATCATACGTACAGGCATACTTTTTATTTGTGAGGACATGACAGTCACCCCCTCACCCTAACCCAAACATTCCAAGTTGTTCCGGTTTTCAGATGAAATATGTGCTTCCAGAAAGTACATCATCTTGGCCATAGATGCAGTACTATTTGATTTACTTTGTATAATTTAGTCGGCATGTACTAAAACCCGAAACAACCGGAATGAAACCACCGGAACGAAACCACCGGAACGACCAGAACAAGAATCTGAAATGACCGGAACCACCGAAACCAAAATCGAACACGATCGGAACAAAGTAGTAGAACACTAAATAACTATCATTCCGATCGTGTTCGATTTTGGTTTCGGTGGTTCCGGTCATTTCCGACTCTTGTTCCAGTCGTTCCGGTGGTTTTGTTCCGGTGGTTTCGTTCCGGTGGTTTCGTTCCGGTTGTTTTGGGTTTTAGTACATGCCAATTTAGTCTAGCACATCTAAAGTATGGGAAACGACAAAACGCGGACCCCAGGTCCGTGGACTACCTTCGTGGACCTGGTCCGTTGACTACCTTCGTGGACCACTCTCATGGACCACTTGCGAGACACCAGATTTTTGGGGTTTGAATTCTTGACTGTGCATGCAAAAATGTGCTCGAGTCGAGTTTAGTCATTATTATCATTGTGGAAACTTTACACAAAATGTGAAGAACTTTCTAAATCCATTCACTACATGACCGTTCTAAAATATAAGTGTGCAATTACGACTTTAATGCAAAGTTTCCGAATATATGCCCTTAAAATTGGTAGTTTTTTTTCTCGATTGCTACAGGAAATGCAAGAAAAGCAGTAATCGAGCTTCAAAAATTAATATTTTTGGGAGAGGACCTTCAGGCATTGAAAGGTCATTGCATCTTACGACTTCTACAGTTCAAGTGATTTTTTAACAGTAAAATTCGAATAATTCAGTAAAATCCTTTGACCCCCCCCCCTCCCCTCCAGATTCTCCACAGTATTCCTATATTTTTTAATGGAACCCTGACTACATCCAATTTTTTCAGAATTTTTACAGACTTAGTATTTACTGTTCATCAACAAAAACTGAATTGATTGTGTAATAAATAATGGAAATGAATAATGAAATAGTTCCCGCCATTCTCGGCTCCCTAAACTCGGAATAATAGTGCTTGGTCTATTGTTCAGTAGGCGAAATTTTGCAAGTGGTCCACGAGAGTGGTCCACGGGAGTGGTCCGTGGTCCACGAGTGTAGTCCATGGACCAGGTCCACGAAGGTAGTCCATGGACCTGGGGTCCGCGTTTTGTCGTTTCCCCTAAAGTATTGCCATTTAAATTAAGTATTACAACATATATTGCTTTATATTTTCAACAGGAGAGCATATTAAAAAGTGCAAAAAATGAAAGTGTACCTCATAGTGCATTTAAAGGCAAGTTGAAATTACCATGCAGTTTACTAGATGTGTTGTGCATTTTAATGAATTAAATCAAAGTAGCCCTACATTAATTTTTATTTTTTTGTTTCCAGCAAGTGGATATAACAGGTACTGTAAATTTATATGTTGTTAAATTTAATATCATCATGAACTATTTCATCATGTTCCTCTATTATTTGAAAATCTAGGTTCTCTCAAGCAGGACAACAAATTTTGTTGCATTCTGCAGCATTAGAACAATACGAATAATTGCTGAAGTTCTTAGTACTGTATTTATTGATGTTGGCTGAATTTCTTTTCCATTCATTTCAGCTTGTGTATAATTTATGCCAGCTTTTCATTATTTAACTGGATTGCTCCACCTATTATTGCTTTCATTGGTTCCAAATTTTCCATGATGCTTGCTGGATTTTGTTATTGGCAAGTGTTAATACAGACTGTGTATTATGTGTGAATAGTCTTTAATTTGCCCTAATTTTGGATGTCAACAATTTTACGATTTTAGTTACTGTAATATTTTAGTCGAAGTAGATCACACAGTAAAAATTTAACACATGTCAAAAGCCGAGATCGAGAGCCGTCTAGAATTCCCGTTAAAAAGTTAGTTCATTTGATGAGCCAAAATAGAAAAAATTTAACTAGAATAAATGTGACATATTTGACAAGCATGTCTATTAGACTAAACCCCCACTTCTTTAATTTCATGGCCATTGGCCACGCCCAATTGAGTGGCCACACTTCTAAAATTGGCAAAACATTGCTGCACACATCTCTTGTTAGAACCTTAACCATTTGAGTACCAGCACTTTCCCCTTGATGGTAGAGCTGTGCATAGAGCATATTTAAAAGTGGAAGCAGGTGAAACTATTTCAGTGTAATCACAGAGTAGAGACATACAGAGACGTAACTAGTGTACCTGATAACGTAATCTTCTGCAATGTTTACAATGGTCAGTTACGTCTCTGTATGTCTTATCTACTCTGTGACCAGTGTAATTTCAGAATTTATCTTTTTAAAAAACCTTTTTATCTTTTTACAACACTATTAATAGTAAACCACATAGTAATATATAGTAAAACAACATATAAATAGTAATATATTAGTAAACAACAACTTAATTTTCCCATTTAATGCCAAATGTTCGTTGAAATATGAAATAATTTTTTATAATTTTGTCTGCCGGAGTTTTTCAACTCCGACTCCGGCAAAATATGCCGGGGAACTGGCTTTGACGGCACTCTGGCTCCTGTGCACAGCTCTACTTGATGGGTTAAATCATCTGGTGTTAGACAGAGTGAAATAATAAAGTAGGGTGCAATTCAACTTATTAATAAGCTGTTTTGCAGATATTTTCTTAATATCTTCTCAATTTTTTTCACAGGCTATTTATATTCAGCTTATATTTTGTATCCAAGTACGTTCAGCATGACCTATCTGGTCTGCTCTATGCAGCATCTGTTGTCATTGGATTTGGGGCTGCAGGTATACTGTACATTTTTGTACTTGAATTTGTGTGCCAATATGCAGATTTTTATTGGTGTACCAGTCCTTGACCTGCAAAGCGATATGTATAGATTTAGGTCGGCAAAATTTTGCCGACCTACTTTCAAATACGTCTCGGACTTTTTTTCCGCGAACGCATGTTTTGAAAAGTACTGTAAACTTATGTGTTAAAATCGTCGAGCGTCAAGATTTAAGCGAAAGTATACAGTAAATAAAGTAGTGTATGGTCTGTCACAACATTTGGTCACAACATGCACTGTTCGATTGGAGTTCATACATTTTGTTAACCTGCATGGCAGGCCCTCAGTTTTATGGGCCTAACATTTTGTTAGTAGTTTTGTTTGCTATTGGCATTGATTGCAATTCATTGCTGTTTAAATATAAATACGCGTATTTGCAACAAGCAAATTAAATTTTCATTTGGATATTGTCTATTTGTTTTGAAAATATTTGCCGATCTAGATAGAGAATTATCGCTTTTAGGTCGGCAATTTCTTGCCGACCTGAAATTTCGGAACTTGTTTCAAAGACTGGTGTACTTATAAATGGTGATTTTGAATGGTAATAAAATAAAATATGTATGCATATAGAAACCACAGTTAAATATTCTCCCAGAATCCAGAAATTGCTATTCTGGGGACTCTACATTTCAAAATTTTCGCGGGGAGAATGCCCCCGGAACCCCCTAAACTATTTAAGTACAGAATACACAATTTGAAAATGTTACATAAACATTCAAAACTGAAGGAAATACTCTTGGTAGTTGTCCTAAGAGTTCAAGAATATGGAAATCAGTCTGACTAAATAGAAACAATAGAAAATCACTAGGGCCCCAAATATTCCCCGGGCCCCCAAATTTCTCTGTGCGGCCCTGTTTCAGAATGATTGTGTTGAAGGATTGTTGGTGGTGTATGTGGATTTAATTTGGCCAGTTGATCAATTGGGGGCTTGTTGATACATTTGATTGATATGCTTCCTCCCTCAGACCTCCCACCTAATTTTACTTAAAATTTCAAGTTTTTTGTGAAATCCCCACCCCATCCCTGTACCCCCACTCCCCAGGATTTATATTAATAGGTGTGTAACAGTGTAAGTCTGTTGTTGGTAAGAAGTCATTTTATTTCCCACAGTTATCTGGACGGCGCAAGGAAGTTGTTTGACGGTGAATTCTTCAGATGAAACAATGGGAAGAAACAGTGGAATATTTTGGGCATTCTTACAATGCAGGTTGAATTATGAAACTGTTGAATGAGAGTTTTAAACTTGCTAACACTTAAACCGTTACCCTTAACACACTTTATGTTTTGTAGTATGTTGATTGGAAGTTTGATTGTTTACTTTTGTTTCAAGCCAAAAAATGGTTCAACGCTGATCAGTGAGTACCTTGCATACAAGTCATTTTAGGGGCTGTTTACATGAGCTCTACAGGGAGGGCTGGCCCTACTAGGCGAGATCCTGTGTGCTATTTGAAATCCTTATTAAAAATTGTTTACGTTTACATGAGAAGAGGGCCAGCCCTCCTAGGCGAGATCTCACTATTATTCACCCGAGATCTCGCCTAGTAGGGCTGGAATTTTCTCATATAAACGCAGTAGAGAGGGCTGGCCCTCCTAGTAGGGCTGAGTGAAAAAGCCGTCGAATCGATTTTAGACTAAACTCTTTGAAGCTTTTTTTTGTTTTAAGGATGTAGTTCTAAACGGATATTCCAAAAATTAGTCGGCAAACTATGATTTTGGACGCCAAAATAAAAACTAATGAGTCGCACAGAAGCCATTTAAGTGCTACTTGCGAAAGGAAGCTATCCCTACCAGTAGGGCTGATTTTTCTCATGTAAACAAGCGGTGAAAATTAGCCCTACTGCTAGGGCCAGCCCTCCCGTTAGGGCTCATGTAAACAGCCACTTAAAATGCGTCTCTTGTATAGAAATGGCTATTGACTGTCATTGCGGTGCCCTATTCACTGCCATTGGGGG